TGCGACCCACACTAGTCAACTAACATCCAGGTGAACAGGAAAAAACGCCTGGAACTAGTGCTCATATTGGTGAATTTAAGGCCAGCAAAGGTTGGTTTGAGAGATTTAAGAATCGTAGTTACATACACAGTGTGATAAGGCATGGTGAAGCTGAAAAATTCCAACCCCAACAAGTGTTTGTGACGAAACAGGCCTGTTCTGGAAGAAAATGCCAAACAGGACCTACATTACTCATTACTCAGGAGGAAAAGGCACTCCCAGGACACAAGCCTATGAAAGACAGGCTAACTCTCATGTTTTGTTGTAATGCAAGTAGGGATTGCAAAGTAAAGCCTTTACTCATGTATCACTGTGAAAATCCCAGAGTGTTCAAGAAAAACAGTGTCTCATCACTCAATAAAGGTAAGTGTCATTTTAGTACTTATTTATGTATGTATTGGGCATGTCTCATTGTTTTCTGTGTAGGGAAATGTATATTTCATGTAGAAAAAATTATTTTTAATACTTTTGGCTGTCTGGAACAGATTAATTGGATTTCCATTATTTCTTGTTAGGAAAATTAATTCGACTAATGGCTAATTCGACTAAAGGCTAGCTCTCTGGAAATAATTAAAGCCGTTGGTCTAGGGTCCACTATATGTAATTTATGAGAAAGATTTACATTTTAATTTATAAATAAGAAATATTTACATTTTAGAAAGAAATTTGGTAATAAGTAATACATATTTTATGAAAAAGAGGATAAATAAATATACAAGGTATGATGTAGCACGTAATGAAAGTAGTTTATTAGATTATGTATTGGTGGATAAAAGGTTGATGGGTAGGCTCCAGGATGTACATGTTTATAGAGGGGCAACTGATATATCGGATCATTATTTAGTTGTAGCTACAGTTAGAGTAAGAGGTAGATGGGAAAAGAGGAAGGTGGCAACAACAAGTAAGAGGGAGGTGAAAGTGTATAAACTAAGGGAGGAGGAAGTTCGGGTGAGATATAAGCGACTATTGGCAGAAAGGTGGGCTAGTGCAAAGATGAGTAGTGGGGGGGGTTGAAGAGGGTTGGAATAGTTTTAAAAATGCAGTATTAGAATGTGGGGCAGAAGTTTGTGGTTATAGGAGGGTGGGAGCAGGAGGAAAGAGGAGTGATTGGTGGAATGATGAAGTAAAGGGTGTGATAAAAGAGAAAAAGGTAGCTTATGAGAGGTTTTTACAAAGCAGAAGTGTTATAAGAAGAGCAGAGTATATGGAGAGTAAAAGAAAGGTAAAGAGAGTGGTGAGAGAGTGCAAAAGGAGAGCAGATGATAGAGTGGGAGAGGCACTGTCAAGAAATTTTAATGAAAATAAGAAAAAATTTTGGAGTGAGTTAAACAAGTTAAGAAAGCCTAGGGAAAATATGGATTTGTCAGTTAAAAACAGAGTAGGGGAGTTAGTAGATGGGGAGATGGAGGTATTGGGTAGATGGCGAGAATATTTTGAGGAACTTTTAAATGTTAAGGAAGAAACAGAAGCAGTAATTTCATGCACTGGTCAGGGAGGTATACCATCTTTTAGGAGTGAAGAAGAGCAGAATGTAAGTGTGGGGGAGGTACGTGAGGCATTACATAAAATGAAAGGGGGTAAAGCAGCTGGAACTGATGGGATCATGACAGAAATGTTAAAAGCAGGGGGAGATATAGTGTTGGAGTGGTTGGTACTTTTGTTTAATAAATGTATGAAAGAGGGGAAGGTACCTAGGGATTGGCGGAGAGCATGTATAGTACCTTTATATAAAGGGAGAGGGGACAAAAGAGACTGTAAAAATTATAGAGGAATAAGCTTACTGAGTATACCAGGAAAAGTGTACGGTAGGGTTATAATTGAAAGAATTAGAGGTAAGACAGAATGTAGGATTGCAGATGAGCAAGGAGGTTTCAGAGTGGGTAGGGGATGTGTAGATCAAGTGTTTACATTGAAGCATATATGTGAACAGTATTTAGATAAAGGTAGGGAAGTTTTTATTGCATTTATGGATTTAGAAAAGGCATATGATAGAGTGGATAGAGGAGCAATGTGGCAGTTGTTGCAAGTATATGGAATAGGTGGTAAGTTATTAAATGCTGTAAAGAGTTTTTATGAGGATAGTGAGGCTCAGGTTAGGGTGTGTAGAAGAGAGGGAGACTACTTCCCGGTAAAAGTAGGTCTTAGACAGGGATGTGTAATGTCACCATGGTTGTTTAATATATTTATAGATGGGGTTGTAAAGGAAGTAAATGCTAGGGTGTTCGGGAGAGGGGTGGGATTAAATTTTGGGGAATCAAATTCAAAATGGGAATTGACACAGTTACTTTTTGCTGATGATACTGTGCTTATGGGAGATTCTAAAGAAAAATTGCAAAGGTTAGTGGATGAGTTTGGGAATGTGTGTAAAGGTAGAAAGTTGAAAGTGAACATAGAAAAGAGTAAAGTGATGAGGGTGTCAAATGATTTAGATAAAGAAAAATTGGATATCAAATTGGGGAGGAGGAGTATGGAAGAAGTGAATGTTTTCAGATACTTGGGAGTTGACGTGTCGGCGGATGGATTTATGAAGGATGAGGTTAATCATAGAATTGATGAGGGAAAAAAGGTGAGTGGTGCGTTGAGGTATATGTGGAGTCAAAAAACGTTATCTATGGAGGCAAAGAAGGGAATGTATGAAAGTATAGTAGTACCAACACTCTTATATGGGTGTGAAGCTTGGGTGGTAAATGCAGCAGCGAGGAGATGGTTGGAGGCAGTGGAGATGTCCTGTTTAAGGGCAATGTGTGGTGTAAATATTATGCAGAAAATTCGGAGTGTGGAAATTAGGAGAAGGTGTGGAGTTAATAAAAGTATTAGTCAGAGGGCAGAAGAGGGGTTGTTGAGGTGGTTTGGTCATTTAGAGAGAATGGATCAAAGTAGAATGACATGGAAAGCATATAAATCTATAGGGGAAGGAAGGCGGGGTAGGGGTCGTCCTTGAAAGGGTTGGAGAGGGGGGGTAAAGGAGGTTTTGTGGGCGAGGGGCTTGGACTTCCAGCAAGCGTGCGTGAGCGTGTTAGATAGGAGTGAATGGAGACGAATGGTACTTGGGACCTGACGATCTGTTGGAGTGTGAGCAGGGTAATATTTAGTGAAGGGATTCAGGGAAACCGGTTATTTTCATATAGTCGGACTTGAGTCCTGGAAATGGGAAGTACAATGCCTGTACTTTAAAGGAGGGGTTTGGGATATTGGCAGTTTGGAGGGATATGTTGTGTATCTTTATATGTGTATGCTTCTAGACTGTTGTATTCTGAGCACCTCTGCAAAAACAGTGATAATGTGCGAGTGTGGTGAAAGTGTTGAATGATGATGAAAGTATTTTCTTTTTGGGGATTTTCTTTCTTTTTTGGGTCACCCTGCCTCGGTGGGAGACGGCCGACTTGTTGAAAAAAAAAAAAAATTTACATTTTAATTTACAAATAAGTAAGGTTATTCAGGTATACACAGATACAGTTACGTACATAGATTATCATTCATAGCAGCATATGTGTAAAGTACCTAGGATAACCCAAAATAGTCAGAGTTACTTATGTATTTCCATTGGGGTCCTTTTATATTTACACTTATATTTACTTTTATGCTCACACTTTTATATTTACACTTACCTTGGAGATGTTAGTTTAACCCTTTGACTGTTTTGGTCGTATATATACGTCTTACGAGCCAATGTGTTTGACGTATATACAGTAGACTGTCATTTAGCAGGAGTTTACTTGGCACGATTTGGGTATAGCATGATTGAAGAATTGCGGCACAATTTTATGTAACACGTCGTAAGATGAATTTAACACAGTTCAGTTTGCGGAAATAGATTCTCTATCATTTCACAAGAAAATTTTTTTTTTTTTTTTTTTTTCAAAAATTTTTAGACACCAGGAGACACCTCAGGATCTGGGGTTGCGACAGTCAAAGGGTTAATTAGTTAATTTGATGGAGGAGATACTGGCAGGGGTTTAGGGTGGCGGAAGATACGTAGCAGGCAGGTGTATGTTCACTGACCCGATACACTTTCATGTCATTTTTCTATCACTTACTTGCTTAACTTACTTGCTACACTGTTAATTCTGCACTTTATCACTGGCTGGCACTATAGCCTTTATCGATACCTTCTGCTTTAGTATCATACATATCATAGAATCAGTGAATCAATGCAGAAGGCACATTCTCCCCTCTCTCTTCCTCCTCCACTTAAGTACTTTGCTATGAGTTTTTTCTTGAATTCTATTGTGCTCTTTCCTTCTTTACCACAGGGCTGGCACTAGAAGCTTTCTTTGGGCCCATGGTGGCTTATTTAGCAGTTACAAGCACTAACAACAATGGAATAATACAAAATATATTGCATGTACATGTGTAATCATTCTCCCTGGCTTGTAAACAATGGCACACTGGCTTTACATGGGCTCAGGCCACGTGGACACGTTCACAACGAATGTCCTTAACCGAGTTCTTGGGCATTAGTCAAGCCAATATTTTAACACAAAAACATGCCGCTATCCGATTCTGGCGTTAGCCGATGCCGCCGTTACCTGAGGGTCCACTGTATTATGCCCCCAATTTAAGGAACGTAACTGCCCTGCTATCTGACAGTCTACTGTACATCAAACCACAGGACAGGTGGGGTTTGAACCCATGGTGAGTGAGCTGTAAAACTCCAGGCCAGTGTGTAAGCCACTAGGCCAGGTGGCTACAATAAGATTCATCCAATTAGGTAAATTTGAACACCATAGGAAGGTTAGCACCGGCTCTACTGTGACCATAAATGCAAGATTTTACAGATGCATCTACTGCTAGCGTGGCTGTGGGGGACCTCTAACTCAAGTCCCCTCAAAGCCGCCATCATAACCTCACCCATTCTGTGGTTTATTTGCAATCATGTTATTATGATTTCATGAGTTACTGTATATCAATTCCACATATGACATCTCTTCACCTGAAATACACACACAAAGGATGCTTACTTGGATACAGCTAAGGCAGTGACAGATGCTGGTTCAGTATTATCTCTTCGATCGTATGCAGTGTGCATTGTCAACTTACTGCGAAACACCAGCTGACATGCCCACTTCATCCCTGTGAAACAAATACATACAATAAAATGTCTCTCTTTAAAGTTGAATTAAAAATGGAAGGGGAGAAAGTTAAGAAGCACAAATGAAGCTCCAAGGCATGAAGGAAAATGTAAAATAATTGTTGACAGATATCAAATTCTGTTAAAATTCTGGGCATGTTTAATACAGTGAAACCTTTGTGCCTATGGAGGTGAGAATTCTGGACACCCAACAATTATGGAAAAATCTGCAAAAGTACATGTACTTTGAACACAGAAGCAGGCTATGGTGGAGTATTTGGCACCATATGTCAGTCATTACCATTGATAATACAGTGCTGATTATCAGCCTTTATGATTTGTAGATGCCAGCACATAATGCACTACTGTGAATTTTAACAAATCTATGTTAGCTGTAGATACAACAGACAACAACTTTATAATGTGGCATACTGTACAGTATACAATTACGGTAATTGACAGGTTTAAAATACTTTATAGAATGCCCCGTGTTATGCAAAGCATTTCAGGGAGTCTTTAAACTAACTTATAATTACGAGACAATGAAACACAAAGTTCATAAGAAAAAGAATAGCTTATACTTTATAAGTTATGGCAGGAAAAGAGGGAATATAAATGTATAAATTCAAGGATTATGTGGTGTAATATAAGGGTTGGGTGTGAAAAGTGGGTTACAGTCAGTGTTTATACACCTGGAGAAAAGTGTAGAGGAGAGAGACAGATTTTGGGAAATGTTGAGGGAGTGCATGGAGAGTTTTGAACCAAGTGAGAGAGTACTTGTGGTTGGGGATTTCAGTGCTAAAGTGGGTAAAAATATTGTTGAGAGAGTAGTAGGTAAATCTGGGGTGCCTGGGGTAAATGAAATTGGGGAGTCTTCAATTGAACTGTGTGTTGAAAGAGGTTTGGTAATAAGTAATATGTTATTTATTATTTATTATCACACCGGCCGATTCCCACCAAGGCAGGGTGGCCCGAAAAAGAAAAACTTTCACCATCATTCACTCCATCACTGTCTTGCCAGAAGGGTGCTTTACACTACAGTTTTTAAACTGCAACATTAACACCCCTCCTTCAGAGTGCAGGCACTGTACTTCCCATCTCCAGGACTCAAGTCCGGCCTGCCGGTTTCCCTGAATCCCTTCATAAATGTTACTTTGCTCACACTCCAACAGCACGTCAAGTATTAAAAACCATTTGTCTCCATTCACTCCTATCAAACACGCTCACGCATGCCTGCTGGAAGTCCAAGCCCCTCGCACACAAAACCTCCTTTACCCCCTCCCTCCAACTCTTCCTAGGCCGACCCCTACCCCGCCTTCCTTCCACTACAGACTGATACACTCTTGAAGTCATTCTGTTTCGCTCCATTCTCTCTACATGTCCGAACCACCTCAACAACCCTTCCTCAGCCCTCTGGACAACAGTTTTGGTAATCCCGCACCTCCTCCTAACTTCCAAACTACGAATTCTCTGCATTATATTCACACCACACATTGCCCTCAGACATGACATCTCCACTGCCTCCAGCCTTCTCCTCGCTGCAACATTCATCACCCACGCTTCACACCCATATAAGAGCGTTGGTAAAACTATACTCTCATACATTCCCCTCTTTGCCTCCAAGGACAAAGTTCTTTGTCTCCACAGACTCCTAAGTGCACCACTCACCCTTTTCCCCTCAACAATTCTATGATTCACCTCATCTTTCATAGACCCATCCACTGACACGTCCACTCCCAAATATCTGAATACATTCACCTCCTCCATACTCTCTCCCTCCAATCTGATATTCAATCTTTCATCACCTAATCTTTTTGTTATCCTCATAACCTTACTCTTTCCTGTATTCACCTTTAATTTTCTTCTTTTGCACACCCTACCAAATTCATCCACCAATCTCTGCAACTTCTCTTCAGAATCTCCCAAGAGCACAGTGTCATCAGCAAAGAGCAGCTGTGACAACTCCCACTTTGTGTGTGATTCTTTATCTTTTAACTCCACGCCTCTTGCCAAGACCCTCGCATTTACTTCTCTTACAACCCCATCTATAAATATATTAAACAACCACGGTGACATCACACATCCTTGTCTAAGGCCTACTTTTACTGGGAAAAAATTTCCCTCTTTCCTACATACTCTAACTTGAGCCTCACTATCCTCGTAAAAACTCTTCACTGCTTTCAGTAACCTACCTCCTACACCATACACTTGCAACATCTGCCACATTGCCCCCCTATCCACCCTGTCATACGCCTTTTCCAAATCCATAAATGCCACAAAGACCTCTTTAGCCTTATCTAAATACTGTTCACTTATATGTTTCACTGTAAACACCTGGTCCACACACCCCCTACCTTTCCTAAAGCCTCCTTGTTCATCTGCTATCCTATTCTCCGTCTTACTCTTAATTCTTTCAATTATAACTCTACCATACACTTTACCAGGTACACTCAACAGACTTATCCCCCTATAATTTTTGCACTCTCTTTTATCCCCTTTGCCTTTATACAAAGGAACTATGCATGCTCTCTGCCAATCCCTAGGTACCTTACCCTCTTCCATACATTTATTAAATAATTGCACCAACCACTCCAAAACTATATCCCCACCTGCTTTTAACATTTCTATCTTTATCCCATCAATCCCGGCTGCCTTACCCCCTTTCATTTTACCTACTGCCTCACGAACTTCCCCCACACTCACAACTGGCTCTTCCTCACTCCTACAAGATGTTATTCCTCCTTGCCCTATACATGAAATCACAGCTTCCCTATCTTCATCAACATTTAACAATTCCTCAAAATATTCCTTCCATCTTCCCAATACCTCTAACTCTCCATTTAATAACTCTCCTCTCCTATTTTTAACTGACAAATCCATTTGTTCTCTAGGCTTTCTTAACTTGTTAATCTCACTCCAAAACTTTTTCTTATTTTCAACAAAATTTGTTGATAACATCTCACCCACTCTCTCATTTGCTCTCTTTTTACATTGCTTCACCACTCTCTTAACTTCTCTCTTTTTCTCCATATACTCTTCCCTCCTTGCATCACTTCTACTTTGTAAAAACTTCTCATATGCTAACTTTTTCTATATAGCAACAAAAGCATTTAGATAAGAAAATTAAATCCCATCCCTACAAAAAACTTAAGGTTAAAACTCACCAGGCATGAGAGGATTCCTTGGTAGTTTTTTCTTAATGTCAGTGATGACACTTTGATGACTCTGGGCTTCCCTTACCTCAGAGTCTGAGATGAGAACAAATGTATCACTGTCTACCAAATTTGTCTCACTCTTACTGGTCTGCAGTCTGTGATCATGTCCTCGTTGTGCATCATGTGACCCTCCTCTCTCAATGGTGCTGATTGCTCTTGCAACACCTAAGATAAGCAAATATAATGCTGTAGTTGCATGCCTTCTGCCTAGTTCTTTTATCTTGGATTAACATTTTAACACATCGACCATTTCCCAAAAAGAAAAAACGAAAAAAAGAAAGAAAAAACTTTCATCATTCAACACTTTCACTGTCGTGTACGAATGGTATGTGTCTTACTCTCACTTTCACTGTCACTAATGCATAATCACTGTCTTTGTAGAGGTACTCAGATATGACAGTTTAGATGTCCCTCCAAACTGCCAATAACCCAAACCCCTCCTTTGAAGTGTAGATATTGTACTTCCCAGTTCCAGGACTCAATTCCAGCTAACCGGTTTCCCTGAATCCCTTCACAAAATATTACCCTGCTCACACTCAAACAGTTCGTCAGGTCCCAAAAACCATTAATCTCCATTCACTCCTATCTAACATGCTCACGTACACCTGCCAGAAGTCCAAGCCCCTTGCCCACAAAACCTCCTTTACCTCCTCCCTCCAACCTTTTCGAGGACAACCCCTACCCCGCCTTCCTTTCCCTACAGATTTATATGCTATCCATATCATTCTACTTCGATCCATTCTCTCTAAATGACCAAACCACCTCAACAACCCCTCTTCAGCCCTCTGACTAATATCTTCAGTAACTCCACACCTCCTCCTACTTTCCACACTACAAATTCACTGCATGATATTTACACCACTGTCTCCAGCCTCCTACTCGCTGCATCATATACAACCCATGCTTCACACCCATATAAGTGTGTTGGTAACACTATACTCTCGTACATTCCCTTCTTTGCCTCCATGGATAACGTTTTTTGTCTCTACTCACCTTTTTTCCTTCATGAATTCTATGATTAGCCTCATCCTTCATAAATCCATCTGCTGACAAGTCAACTCCAAAATATCTGAATACATTCACTTCTTCCATACTCCCTCCCTCCAATGTAATACCCAATTTTTCTTGATCTAAATCATTTGATACCCACATCACTTTACTCTATGTTCATTTTCAACTTTCCACCTTTACACACCCTTCCAAACTTGTTCATCAACCTTTGCAATTTTTCTTGAGAATCTCTGAAAAGCACAGTATCTTCAGCAAAATGTAACTGTATCAACTCCACATCTGTAATTGATTCCCCATAATTTAATCCCACCTCTCTCTCCTCAACACTCCAGCATTTACTTCTTTTACAACCCCATCTATAATTATGTTAAAAAACTATGGTTTAACATTTTTTTTTTAACAAGCTGGCTGTCTCCCACCGAGGCAGGGTGACCCAAAAAGAAAATCCCCAAAAAGAAAACACTCTCATCATCATTCAATACTCTCATCTCACTCATACATAATAGCTGTTTTTTGCAGAGGTTCCCAGAACACAACAGTTTAGAAGCATATACGTATAAAGATACACAACATATCCTTCCAAACTGCCAATATCCCAAACCCCTCCTTTAAAGTGCGGGCACTGTACTTCCCATTTCCAGTACTCAAGTCCGGCTATATAAAGATAACCGGTTTCCCTGAATCCCTTCACTAAATATTACCCTGCTCACACTCTAACAGCTCATCAGGTCCCAAATACCATTTGTCTCCATTCACTCCTATTTAACACGCTCACGCATGCTCACTGATAGTCCAAGCCCCTTGCCCACAAAACCTCCTTTACTCCCTCCCTCCAACCTTTTCGAGGACGACCCCTACCCCGCCTTCCTTCCCCTACATTTTTATACGCTCTCCATGTCATTCTACTTTGATCCATTCTCTCTAAAGGACCAAACCACCTCAACAACCCCTCTTCAGCCCTCTGACTAATACTTTTATTAACTCCACATTCTGAATATTTTACAAGACAATAAAATGTTTCATTTATTTTGTTAATATTATATTTCTGGTTACATTAAAAATAATTTACTTATAACTGACATGCAAAATACATTTACAGTCACAAAAATTGTACTGTAAACATTACACATCACTTGTATTTTACAGTTATCAAAAGAGTGAATAAAGTTTTTTTTTTTAACCTTGAGGATAGTTGGAACTCCTCCTGAGGACGATATCATCATGCGCTTCAAGGGAATGTGACTGGGAGGCTTCTATACTAGGTGAGCTGGAGGTGGAGATGGACATAGCAACTTGACGGTGAAGAGGGCGCTTCTCTTTGCTGCTTTTATCCGGACTCAGATCTTGGTCAAGCTGCAAACATTTCATTCAAATGTTAAAGGAATTTATCTGTAACTACCTTCGTCCATAGGAAAAATTATATTTAAAATATATGTCCATTAACCCTTTCACTGTCTCTCACAAAGATCAACACAGATGTAGATTACCCTCTTAATCATAGCACTCTCAAAAGTGCTGAGAGGTAAGTTTGGGCCTAGACATGAGAGAACAGGTCTGTGTGGTGGGTGTGCACAGTGCAAAAAAAAAAAAAAAAAAAAAAAAAAATCTGCCCCATGCAGTGCATGATGGGAATGGCTAACCTCTGACCTTTTGTTTGAGTCAAAAGAGCAACTTTGAGGCATTTTCAAGGGTAGTTTTCATGATTTTATTGGTTGTTTTTTGGTGCCAACTGACAGACCAGAAAACACTTGTAAAATGGAGATGATTTTGGTCAGTTTTACATCAAATGTGATCTGAAACTGGCCTCAAATTGGCAGAAATATTGTCCAGAGGAAAGGTTGGGTCCCCCCTTGGCCTCTTTGATGGGTTTCTACTATGTCTGCTTCAATTACTGAATGGCCTAAACCATAATCAAGTACATGTATTCTTAATTATATTTTAGTACCTGAGAAATAGTAAAATATTTTTTGTGTTACAACAGATTCAAATTGGAGAACAAATGTTATATAAGGGAGGCCTGGGGGTGAGATTAATGAACAGAGGAAAGTTACTTTAGTAGCTGGAATGCATACAGTGTTTTGGACTCTTTGTTTTTGAACTGGGACAATTTAAACACTGGAATTGGCCTAAAACAGACCAAAAATAAGCAAAATTGCACTTTGGTAAAGTGCTCAACAACTTCCAATTTTGCACTTGCATAATTTAATTACCAGAAGTTTTACATCAATCTTTGCATTTTTGGTGTCATTACATTAAGATAAAGATTTTCAACCATTTTAGAAATTCAAAAAAATAAACTGCCATACTGATGGGCCTTTCATCATCCATAGCATCATACCAATCATCATGCTTCTCAGCCTACCAATAACAAATTACTTTCTAATAGGATAGAAAAGCAAAGTGAAATACTCACTCCAAGTTCTGTCACCATTTCTTCCTGACTGGCTGTTAGTTTGTTTTGTTCACAAGATACAACAGTGTAGGATTCTAAGTCCACAACACCCACTTCTTCTGCAGTCTGCCCTTTATCATTCTCTTCGATATCACTCTCTCCTTCTTCAGACAAGCTGCTCTCGCTAACACTTTTTGTCAATAGTGCTAGAAAGAGAATATGCATTACTTGCAAAACTGCAAAAAACAAATAACAATCTAAACACATTTTAAATCAATAATGTACTGCATGTATTGATCCTTCCTACCCTTGCTAAGTTAAACTCTAAAGCTGAAGCTACTAGAATCCAAACCATTCCTACTCAAACTCTTCCTACTGCCAGATACAACTTCTACTTAAGTAAGTTTGCAATTTATTTATCCACCAAATTGCAACGACTATTATGGTGGCTGTTTTTCTGCCTCATTACTGTATTTGTTACTTAAGCATCAAATCAATCAAAATTAAATTTTTTATTGCTTTGTGTAGTATATAATGCGCAGTTTACATGCAATAAACTATCCAAGCACAGATCTACATTTTTTATACAAGAAAGCATGTAAAATTGAATGTAGATCTACGTTCGGAGCGCTACGCGAGCGAACATAGATCTACGTTTGCACAGTTTAAGGGTTAATAAATATATGGAAGAGGGTAAGGTACCTAGGAATTGGCAGGGAGCATGCATAATTCCTTTGTATAAAGGCATAGGGGACAAAAGAGAGTAAAAATTATAAGGGAATAAGCCTGTTGAGTATACCTGGTAAAGTGTTGAGTTATTATTAAAAGAATTAAGAGTAAGATGGAGCGCAGGATCGCAAATGAACAAGGAGGCTTTAGGAAGAGTAGCGGGTGTGTAGACCAAGTGTTTACAGTGAAGCATATAGGTGAAGAGGATTTAGGTAAGGGTAGAGGTTTCTGTTGCATTTATAGACTAGGAAAAGGCGTGTGATACAGTAGATAGGGAGGCAATGCTGAAGATGTTACAAATGTATGGAATGTGAGGTAGGTAACTGAAAGCAGTGAAGAGTTTTTACGAGGATAGTGAGGCTCAGGTTAGAGTATGTAGGAGAAAGGGAGATCATTTCCCAGTAAAAGTAGACCTTAGACAGGAATGTGTGATGTCACCTTAGTTGTTCAACATATTTAGAGATGGAGTTGTGAGAGAAGTGAATGCTCAGGTGTTGGCAAGAGGTGTGGGATTAAAAGATAAAGAATCTAACACAATGTCGGAGTTGTCACAGTTGCTTTCTGCTGATGACACTGTGCTTTTGGGAGATTCTGAAGAGAAGTTGCAGAGGTTGGTTGATAAGTTTGGTAGGGTACGTAAAAGAAGGAAATTAAAAGTGAACATAGGAAAGAGTAAGGTGATGAGGATAACAAACAATTCAGGTAATGAAAGACTGGATATCAGACTGGAGAGAAGGAGTGAGTATGGAGGAAGTGAATGTATGTAGATATTTGGGAGTGGATTTGTGAATAGATGAGTCTATGAAAGAAGAGGTGAATCACAGAACTGATGAGAGGGAAAAAGGTAAGTGGTGCACTGAGGAACCTGTGGAAACAAAGAACGTTACCCATGGAAGCAAAGAGGGGAATGTATGAGGCTATAGCTATACCAACCCTCTTATATGAGTGTGAAGCATGGGTAGTGAATGCTGCAACAAGGAGAAGGCTGTGTCTGAGGGAGACATTGTGTCTGAGGGCAATGTGAGGTGTGAATATAATGCAAGGAATCTGTAGTTTGGAAATTAGTTAGATTGGGGTTACTAAAAGGATTATCTAGAGGGCTGAGGAGAAGATGTTGAGGTGGTTCGGACATTCAGAGAGAATAGAACAAAATGGAATGAGTTGGAGAGTATATAAATCTGTAGTGGAAGGAAGGCAGGGTAGTGGTTGGCCTAGGAAAGGTTGGAGGGAGGGAATAAAGGAGGTTTTGTGTGCGAGGGGCTTGGACTTCAAGCAAATGTGAGTAAGCATGTAAAATAGGAGTGAGTGGAGACAAATGGCTTTTATGACTTGATGTGCTGTTGGAGTGTGAGCAAAGTATCATTTATGAAGGGATCCAGGAAAACCGGCTTTCTGGTTTTCCTGGAGGTGGGAAGTACAGTGCCTGCATTCTGAAGGAGGGATGTTGATGTGGCGGTTTTTTTTTGTAACTGTAGTGTATGTGCCTCTGGCAAGACAGCAATGAAGTGAATGATGATAAAAGTGTTTCTCCTTTTTTGGGTCAGCCTGCCTTGGTTAGAAATGGTTGATGTGTTAATAAAAAAAAAATTATAGTAGAGAGGTAAAAAAAAAAAAAAAGCTATTTGATGGTGAACTTCAGGGAAAAACTGAAAATAATGAAAACTGATTTGAGCAGCAACATTTTCTCTAGTTACTAGATCGTCCACCTACAAGGCTTTAATAACTTGCTGGTTGGAAGTTCATAACAGTAACTAAACTACATCTGCAAGTCAGGTAACATCATGAGTAAACTCCTTACTTATAAGTACACTGCATCATGTGCTATCCTTTCACAAGAGGTGAAGGGTTCTTGAGCCATGGATTTGGAGCTACTACCCTCCCTTGAACTAAATTTGATTGTCTTCCTTCCCTAGATGCTGTATAACTTTTCTGGATTTAGCACTTCCTCAGGACTGCATTAATGTAGTAGCACGAGTACACTATAAATACAGCAAAGCTTCCCACTCATGAGCTTATCAACAGGGACCATTAAAGTCTAGTAGGCTGGTCAAAGTAATTAATTCCTGTACTTTACAACAATCTATGAGTCAAACCCTCAATGTTTCCTAGCTGCCATGACGAACATCAGCAATGGCTGCAGCCGAACTAAAACAATCCCCAACAAGTTTCCTTAGATTTGCCAAAGGTTACCCATCCAATAAAAAATTACAGGCTATCATCAAGAAACAAGAACAAAAATTACATGAACTGAAATATGATTTTACCAGCATTTTTTTTTTTTTTTGACACACTGTCTCTCACTGAGGCAAGGTGACCCCCCCCCCAAAAAAAAAAACAGTTTCACCATCATTCACACTATCACTGTCTTTGCAGAGGCAAGCAGATACGACAATTCAGATGTCATTGTAAACAGCAAATATCCTAAATCCCTCTTTTAAAGTGCAGTCACTGTACTTCCCACCTCCAGGACTCAAGTCCAGCTCTTTATATCCTCTCCAATACATTGGTAAATTTTGCAACTTCCTTTCTAACAGACATAAAGAATGCAAAATTAATGTTTGCCTTGTTGACACAAACAATTCTCTTTTCTGTCATGTTTAGAGACTATAACCTCCCATAAGCTAGTCCTCTGTTAAAATTCGCTTTTCCCAGTACATTGTCAAATGTTACCTTCAAACCGTACATGACTTAACTTGACCTTAACCTCATGTGACCTAATCTTGACTATTTCCTTACATTACTTGTCATGACCCCATTTCTGACTTTCCTGTCTTTTCACTCTCTCTCTCCCTCTCTACTTGATAATGGTCCAGGAGGGATCAAAATGTTTTATCTTTAATTTGTTAATTTATTCTGAACTGTTCAACATGCAATATTGTGACTTTTTTCCTCTCACTTCGTAACTCACCAGGAGGAAAGTCTTCCACTGTAGACAAACGACGAACTACTTCATGAGCACGTGCAGAGCAACCAGGATGCAATGACTGGGATGGTGATCTTCCATTAGGAGATTTAGGGGATTTGGAGACCTTACTGTTGTTGATAGTATAAGCAATCCCTGCAAATTAATGAAAACTACAGATGCAATTCTGATGAGGAATCCTCTGAACAACTATTTCAGCAGTTTTATCTTTTTCTTATTAGGGATAGGTTAGAACAAGTGAGGAACTAACAACAAATGAAATATATTTTAGACTTTAAGGTGTACTGGTTGAGTATCCCTTATCCAAAATACTCGGGGCCAAAATTGTCTCGGTTTTCCAGATTTTTCGGATTTTGGAATATAATGAGATAGCTTGTTGGCAGTATCTACAGGTGTGGATGATCTGGTTTAGTTAACCCTTTGAGGATCCAGAGGTCAAATCTCAGTGTGACAGCCAGGGTCCAAGAATTTTCCAAAAAAAATTTCTTATGCTTTCTTATGAAATGGTAGAGAATCTTTTTCTGAAGGTAATGAAGCAAAAAGTACGAAATTTGATGGAAAATTGACAAAACTGCACTCTCGCAAATTCTGATGCATCAGCGATATTTACGCATTGGCGATTTTCCGACTTTGACTCCCATTTTAGACCAATTACATTATTCCAGTCGACCAAATTCTTTGCTATTTTCTAATATTACTTCTATTTTATCAACTGAGCACAAGAAATCGCCCAGTAAACTGTTTCAACTACCCAATAAAGTGATCGGAAATTGGTAATTTGGCCAATTTAACACAAAGTTCAAAATATTCCATTTTCAAAATAGGATCCAGAATAAACACTGCAGGCATTCCTGGCACTAAACTAACATTTCCTCTGTTCACTACTTACATTTTCAGGTTTTACAAATGAATTCCATTTTGATTTTTTATTCATATAATAAATTTTTATTCACACCAAAAAATGGAAAATTTACTGTTATGGAATACATTGTACTGTAATAATTGCATAAATAATATCACCACTGTTACAATATCTCGTATGTAATTCATCACTTTGATAATACTACCATGCTAGTAACTTTGTTATTAGCTAAAACGAAGCTACTGGATCATTGTACTATTATCCTATTCATCCTTCATCACATGTTTGTGTTATTTGATTATTAAAGAAATGAATATATGTACACATATTCATGTCTGGTTATGAGCTCATTTATATGTAAAAGTACATAATTATCATTGCTCAGTTCAAGGGTATAGCTGGTTAGTGACATCACAAGTTGGCGCCAAATGTTAAGTAGTACATCACGTGACCCAACATGACTTGTGGTTCACGGGGGATTGTCTAGGCAGTGTCTCTTGACTACGCTGAGGGAGCTTCTATACTCTGGTAGAAGATGTCATAGCAGTGCCTACATTAGGAAGCTTTAGAGGCTTGTACTTAGCCCATATGTGTGTATAAGGAGCAAACTGTACTCATTCAGGTTGGACTCTGTCTACTGTGTATGCCTGAAACTCTCGAGAAGGAATATTCCCAGTGTATTACATCTTTGAAAAGACTCTCTTACGTGATACTATATCTCTGTTAATGGAATTTGTATATTGTAATGTCTTACTTATTTGCATACTTATTTATGATTCACTAAAGCAGATTATGTCTAGTATATGAAAGTAATGTCATGTATTACTTAAATCTTAAATTCAAATTCAAAGTTTATTCTCTATAAGGATTACAATGCTGAGTTTACAGAATTTGGTTATTGTATTGTTTACATGTAGTTTTTTTTTTTTTTTTTATCACACTGGCCGATTCCCACCAAGGCAGGGTGGCCCGAAAAAGAAAAACTTTCACCATCATTCACTCCATCACTGTCTTGCCAGAAGGGTGCTTTACACTACAGTTTTTAACCCTTTGAGGGTTTTGGTCGTACTAGTACGTCTTACGCGTAGGGGTTTTTGACGTGCTAGTACGCATAAATTCTAGCGCCGTCAAATCTCGTGGGAAGAGGCTGGTAGGCCTCCATATGAAAGAATGGGTCTATGTGGTCAGTGTGCACAGTATAAAAAAAATCCTGCAGCACACAGTGCATAATGAGAAAAAAAAAACTTTCAAGTTTTTTTGGGCATAAAACAGCGACTTTGCACTGTATTTTCGTATGGTATTTATTGTTGTATTCTAGTTTTCTTGGTCTCATTTTATAGAATGGAATGCATATCACAGAAATTGAGATGATTTTTACTGGTTTTACAATGAAAAGTACCTTGAAATTGAGCTCAAAGTAGGAGAAATGTTCGATTTTTACCAAAGTTCAAAAGTAAACAAATCATGCCAAGCGTCCAATACATGTCAACTGGTGAGTCTAACATTCTTTTGCAATTGCGCCAATATGATTTATATAATTTTTTACACTAATGCAGTAGTCTGCATAACAGTAAATCTTCTATTTTTCGTGAGAATAAAAATTCAAAGTGGAAAGCAAAAGAATGTAAGAGGGGCCTTGAGACGTGACTAATGAGCAGAAGAAATGTCATTTTAGTGCCAGGAATGTATTTCTTGTTTGTTCTGGACACTATTCGGAAATTGGCATTTTTTGAAATTTGTGTGAAATTGGCAAAATTGCTAAATTCTGACCACTGTATTGGATAGTTGAAAATGGTAAATGGGTGGTTTCTTGCACTCATTCAATAGAAAAAAAGTAGTTCTAGCGAAATATTCATGTTGTTTGTCGACTAGTACAGAGGAATTGGCCGAAAATGGGGCTCAAATTGGGCAAAATCGCCAATGCGTAAACATCGCCGAGACCGCTAACTTCTTGAGAACATAATTTCGTAAGTTTTCAATCAAATCTCATAATTTTGGTGTCATTATGATCGGGAAAAGATTCTCTATCTTTTCATAAGAATAAATAATTTTTTTTTTTTTTTAAATTTGGCTGACCCTGAGAACGAGTTTCTGAGAGGGCCTGTCGACCCTCAAAGGGTTAAACTGCAACATTAACACCCCTCCTTCAGAGTGCAGGCAATGTACTTCCCATCTCCAGGACTCAAGTCCGGCCTGCCGGTTTCCCTGAACCCCTTCATAAATGTTACTTTGCTCACACTCCAACAGCACGTCAAGTATTAAAAACCATTTGTCTCCATTCACTCCTATCAAACACGCTCACGCATGCCTGCTGGAAGTCCAAGCCCCTCGCACACAAAATCTCCTTTACCCCCTCTCTCCAACCTTTCCTAGGCCGACCCCTACCCCGCCTTCCTTCCACTACAGACTGATATCACTAGAACACATAGCATGACTAGGCATTTCGGGCAGACTTAAATTAGATCTTAAGTTTAAAATATTACAAAATTATGAGGTAAGTTGGTATTATGGCTAAGTGACTAAATACTAGTTTGTGAGTTTAGCAATGTGAATGCTTTTGTTTTGGCACTATACATAGTTTCAGTATTGGAGTATCACAGGCCAACTTATGACTAGTTAAGATTCATTATTTTGAGATTGAGATTGATATTTCTGTTTATGGTCAAATGGGTGAGTGAGTGTAAGTGTTAACCACCAGGTGGTATTCGTGTAATTAGTTGACAGGGTGTATCAGGGAGATAAGATGTTTTCTGATGGTAGTTTTGAAGGTGATGAATGTGTCTGAGGAACCCAAACAGTGCATTTTTAGATTATATACATATTATACTTATTCAAAGATAAGTATTAATACTTCAATTAAATTAAAATAATTTTTGATGAAGTTTTGATTTCCTGGTGGTAATTATATAATTGAAAGAAAAATCAAGGAATGTTAACTTAGATAAAGATTATTACAAGTAAGAAAGGAACAACCTTTTCTTAGGAGAAATTACTCTCCTCTCCTTATTGTTAAAAAATAACAAAGCACTCCTCAAACTCATAATAACCACATTCGTGAATGTATATAAGACCCACCAGCTAAAGTATATTAGATGCGTGACATCATTTGTTTACTCTTGAACATTGAAAAATTGAACATTTCCGCTAAGCTCAGTTTCAAGCCATTTTCAGTACTAAAACCAATCAAAACCATTTCTTTTTCTGTAATACAGTGGTACCTTGACTTACGAGTTTAATTTGTTCTGTGACCTAGCTCGTAACTCAATTTGTTCGTACAGTGGACCCTCCCTTTTTGTTGGGCTCTGTTTTCGCTCATATCAGTTGCTGCCAAATATTTCCGTAAAATTATTGGCTCAGTTTCGTTGCTTTCCTCTGTTCTCGTCGGTGTTACTGAAAAAAATATTGGCTCAGTTTTCACTGCTTTGCTCCATTCTCGTCAGTGGTACAGTACATGTCTGAGTGTGTCACGCACACAACCTCCCACACACATTCTGAGGAGGCAGTGTCACTTTGTTTATGGTTGAGTGAAAAATTACCTTGTGAGCTCATAAGAATTATTTTGTAATAATTCATTATTTCTTGCACTTGTTTATTCTGTGTGACTGCTAAATAAGCCACCATAGGCTCAAACAAAGCTGCTAGTGCCAATCCTTTGGTCAAGAAGGTGAAAAACATGATAGAATTAAAGGAAGAAATCTTTGAAAAATATGAACGTGGCTTACGTGGGAGCGACGTCGCGAGGATGTACAGCAAGCCTCCATCAACCATCAGTTCCATCGTAGTGAAGAAAAATGAAATCAAGGAAGCTGATGCCATGAAAGGGGTAAAAGTGATAACAAAACAGAAAACACAAACACTGAAAGATGTTGAGAAATTGTTGTTGGTGTGGATCAATGAGAAACAATTAGCAGGAGATAGTACTGTGCAGATGATAATTTACGAAAAGGCAAGGCAGTTGCATGCTGATCTCATAAAGGAAATGCCTGGAACGAGTGCTGATGTTAGTGAATTTAAGGAAAGCAAAGGCTGGTTTGAAAAATTCAAGAAGCATAGTGGCATACACAGTGTTGTAAGGCACTGTGATGCAGCACGTTCAGATAAACATGCAACTGAAAAATTTGTGCATGAATTCAAGAAGTACACAGAGGCTGAAGGATTCCTCCCCTAACAAGTGTTCAATTGTGATGAAACAGGCCTCTTTTGGAAGGAAATGCCAAAGAGGACCTCCATCATGCAGGAGGAACAGGCACTGCCAAGACACAAGCCTATGAAAGACAGGCTAAATCTCTTGCTCTGTGGTAATGCTAGTGGGGATTTAAAAGTAAAGCCTATACTGGTGTATCACTCTGAAAATCCCAGAGTGTACTGTGTATGATGTGGAAAGCTAACAGTAAGGCATGGGTCATGAGGGAAATTTTCCTGGAAAATAAATTGCCACTCAAATGCCTCCTGGTAATGGACAATGTTCCTGGTCATACTCCAGACCTGGATGATCAAATGGTGGAGGGGTTTAATTTCATCACAGTGAAGTTCTTGCCCCCTAATACCAGTCCTCTCATCCAGCCCATGGACCAGCAGATCATTTCAAACTTCAAAAAACTACACCAAAGCAATGTTTCAAAGGTGCTTTGATGTGACCTCAGACACTCAATTGACCCTAAGAGAGTTCTGGAAAGATCACTTCACTATCCTCAATTGCATAGGCTTTATAGATAAGGCTTGGCAGGGAGTGACTTCATGAACGACAAACTCTGCTTGGAGAAAATTGTGGCCAGAATGTGTCCAAGAGAGGGATTTTGAAGGGTTTGGGGCTGATCCTGTTGCCCCTACACCTGTTGTGTAATGTACTGTAGCATTGGGGAATTCCATGGGGTTGGATGTAAGTGGCCAGGATGTGGAAGAGTTGGTGGAGGACCACAGTGAAGAGCTAACCAATGAAGAGCTGCAAGAGCTTCATCTGCAACAGCAGCAGACCACAGCTGAGGAAAATGCTTCAGAGGAGGAGGGAGAGAGAGAGAAGGTGCCTTCTTCAGAAATTACGGAGATTTGTACAATGTGGAGTAGGGTGCAAACATTTGTGGAGGAACATCACTCTAACAAAGCTGTTGCAAGCCATGTTGGCAATATGTACAATGACAATGCCATGTCCCATTGTAGGCAAATTTTAAAGAGATGCCAGACACAGAGCTCTCTGGAACAATTTTTGTGCAACAGGGGTCCAGTGACTCTCAAGCTGGTCCTAGTGTCATTAAAAAACAAAGAAGGGAAGTAACCCCAGATAAGGACTTGTTACCTAAAGTCTTTACGGAAGGGGATTCCCTTACAAACAAGAGTGACTTCTCCCTCTCCCCTCCTCCCTGTCTACCATACACCAACAAGAGTCTTCAATATAGGTAAGTGTCATGTTATTATTGTTTTATACTTGATTCCTCATCCTTTTCTGTGTGTAAATCTATATTTAATGAATAAAAAATTATTTTTTGTTAATACTTTTGGGTGGATGGGATGGATTAATTGGATTTACTGTATATTATTTCTTGAGGGGAAAATAGCTGCAGTTTTCATTGATTTCACATTTCGTCAGACTGTCTGGAATGAATTAAAGACGAAAAGGGAGGGTCCACTGTAGAGTGGTACCTCGGCTTACGAAAGCATCAACATGCGAATTTTCCAGGATATGAACAGTCATTTGGTCGCTTCAGAATTTTGAAGCTTTTTGAATTTAGGAATTTCGGATAAGGGATACTCAACTTGCATTTGCAATAAACAATTATCTCTAACTTTTCCTATTACCAAATAACTAATTTTAAATAATTAAACAATACACAGTTCTAATAACACGTTTAAAATCATAATTAATCATAAGATTAAAGCAGGATAATGTACTACATAACTATATATCATTAATTTATATCCATGATTAATAAAATGCCTAAAACTTTTTTTATGACATGTATATTGGGGTTACCTTGAATATCATCATTCTTCATGTCAGTGAGCTGATCATTATCTGGTTCAGAGATGGTATTGTTGTTAACCGCTGATTCATCTGCTGGTACTTGAACATACTCAACACTCCACATCTAAAGAGAAAATTTGTTAGTGTTAATATTACAAGTGGAAACTATACATCATTATCATTATTCTTAACCACCTGTACATCAAAGAACCCAAAATTTGGAACACCAAACAGCTTCAGAACACTGAAAAAAAAAAAAATATCTTGAGCCTCAAGTAATATTAATATGGAATGATCATAAACATTCACAATGTCAATTGCATCTGACACTGGTAACTTATTCAGTTGTTACCACCTCACTGATAAGTACAAAAAGGCACAAAACCATGACTGAAACAACACACAAATAACCAGCACACAGGAGACACTATGACGACATTCTGGTCAGACCATTTAAAAGTCACATGAACAAACAGAGGTGAAGAAGCCAGTATATATAGGAGATGGGGGCAGGGTCAGGACAGAAAGAGGAAAAAAGAAGTAGTGGAAAAAGTAGTAGCAGCAGTGATGGCAGTAGTAAGTATGGGAAATAGCAGCAAACAGGAAGGGGAGTGAAGTGAGGAAATAGTAGTAGAAGGGGAGTGAAGTGAGGAAATAGTAGTAGAAGTAGTAGTAGTGGTAATAGTAATGAAGTCATAAAAGTAGAGTAAGTCTAAGAACAAGAAAAAGGAGCATTGCAGGAGAGCTAATGGCCCACAAGGGTGGGACCAAAAACATGGGAAAAAAACTGAAGGACTGAAAACTATTAGTACATACAACCTATTGTAGTCTATCCTATGTATAGAAATTATTAATGCTGAATTGTCACACAATTTTAATTACATGTTTTAATCCTTATTTAAATATCCATATTAGTACTAGTTTAAGTCTGCCTCAAATGTTTCACATAAAGGGTTCTCCCTAAAATGTACAGAAAAAGAAGTAATTCCAGAGATAATGCAACATCTTGCAATTCTTGGAAATACAATTTGAACCTCTGCCTCCTTCCTCTAAAATTATGTACACAAATATTAAGGGAATTTTGTGTTGTGTGTACTTAAAAAAAAATAACAGTTTGGCTTAACAAATAATTCCTAATTTAAAATTAGTCATAGGATTTCTCCATGCCATAATCTTAATTAATAAAACTGTTGAAAAATCAACAAGTACAAATTTGAAAATATGACTGTATGGTGCTGGTGGTAAAAATATACTTTTAGCAAAAAATTTTTCATAATACAGAATGAAGTTTCACCTACCAGAAGCTGTGTCAAATACTTGATAAAGCTCTCATTGTATTTGTTGTTATTTACTAAAACAAAGTTTAACAAACTTACTCTTACAACCCCATCTGAGGAACCTGTCATAATAACGTTGTTGGCATCCCACTCATACATGGTTGAGAATGACACACACAGGATTTGTTGTAAGGGAGAGTGGGCACCCAATGCTGTGTTAACAGAAGCTACACGGGTCCCATTGATACTCCACACATGCAGCCAGGTTCCAGCACAAGTTGCTATGTCACCCTGAAACCACAGTAATTTGAAATAAAACACATGAAAAATCATTTAAATATATTATATCCTGTAATACCTACACTTAACCCTTTTAGGGTCCGTGCCGTAGATCTACAGCTTTATGTTCAGGGTCCAAACCGTAGATCTACGCCATGAGCTCAGCTCACTCTAATAAGCTCTGAGTGGTAAATTTGGGCCTAGATATGAGAGAATACATCTATGTGGTATGTGTGCACCACATAAAACAAATCCTGCAACACACTGTGTATAATGAGAGAAAAAACTGAGACTGTGATTTTCGATTAAAACAGCGACTTTGCAGTGTTTTTCGTATGTTATTTATAGTTGTATTTGTGATTTCTTGGTCTCATTTGATAGAATGGAAGACATATTACAGAAATAGAGATGATTTTGATTGGTTTTAGCACTGGAAATGGCTTGAAACTGAGCTCAAAGTAGCATAAATGTTAAATTTTTGCCGATGTTCAAGAGTAAACAAATGACCTCACACGTCTAATACACGCCAGCTGGTGGTTCTAATATACGTACATTCACAAATGTGGTGATGATATTTATACAATTATTACAATACTGCATAACAGTAAATCTTCTATTTTTTGGTTTGAATAAAAATTCATCATGTGAATAAAAAAATAAAAATGGAATTCATTTGTAAAACCTCAAAATGTAACTAATGAACAGAGGAAATGTTAGTTTAGTGCCAGGAATGTCTGCATTGTTTATTCTGGACCCTATTTTGAAATTGAAATATTTTGAACTTTGTGTTAAATTGGCCAAATTACCAATTTCCGATCACTTTATTTTATAGTTGAAACAGTTGACTTGGCAATTTCTTGTGCTCTATCGATAGAATAGAAGTAATACTAGTGAAATAGCTAAGAAATTGGTCGAGTGGAATAATGTAATTGGCCTAAAATGGGAGTCAAAGTCGGCAAAATCGCCGATTCGTAAATATCGCTGACACATCAAAATTTGTGAGAGCATAATTTCGTCAATTTTCCATCAAATTTCGTACTTTTTGTTTTATTACCTTCACAAAAAGATTCTCTACCATTTCATAAGAAAAAAATAACAAAATTATTTTTTGAAAATTCTTGGACCCTGGTGCACACTTTGAAATTTGGCCTCTGGACCCTGAGAGGGTTATAAACTGGCATACTTTTATGCTATATTTCATTTTCTCTCTGAATTAATAGTTTCAAGCACTCTCTCCACACGTATCAATCCAATCAAAGATAGGAAGGATTTCACTGGGATGTATTACCAAATACTGCACAGAAAATATTTAAAAGCAAATGAAATACTTAACCCTTTCAGGGTCCGTCCCGTAGATCTACGGCTTTATGGTGAGTGTCCAAACCGTAGATCTACGCCATGAGCTCAGCTCACTCTGATAAACTGTGAGTGGTACATTTGGGCCTAGATATGAGAGAATACATCTATGTGGTATGTGTGCACCACATAAAACAGATCCTGCAGCACACTGTGTATAATGAGAGAAAAAAACTGAAATCATGATTTTTTGATTAAAACAGCAACTTTGCAGTGTTTTTTCGTATGTTTTTTATAGTTGTATTTGCGATTTCTTGGTCTCATTTGATAGAATGGAAGACATATTACAGAAATAGAGATGATTTTGATTGGTTTTAGCACTGGAAATGGCTTGAAACTGAGTTCAAAGTAGCGGAAATGTTAAATTTTTGCCGATATTCAATTGTAAACAAACGACCTCACACGTCTAATACACGTCAGCTGGTGGGTCTAATATACATTCACAAATATGGTGATGATATTTATACAATTATTACAGTATTGCATAGCAGTAAATCTTCTATTTTTTGGTTGTGAATAAAAATTCATTATGTGAATAAAAAATCAAAATGGAATTTATTTGTAAAGCCTCAAAACATGACTAATGAACAGAGGAAATGTTAGTTTAGTGCCAGGAATGCCTACATTGTTTATTCTGGACCCTATTTTGAAATTGGAATATTTTGAACTTTGTGTTAAATTGGCCAAATTAACAATTTCCGATCACTTTATTTTGTAGTTGAAACAGTTGACTTGGCGATTTCTTGTGCTCAATCGATAGAATAGAAGTAATACTAGTGAAATAGCTAAGAATTTGGTTGATTGGAATAATGTAATTGGCCTAAAATGGGAGTCAAAGTCGGCAAAATCGCCGATTCGTAAATATCGCTGACACATCAAAATTCGCGAGAGCATAATTTCGTCAATTTTCCACCAAATTTCGTACTTTTTGTTTTATTACCTTCACAAAAAGATTCTCTACGATTTCATAAGAAAAAATAACAAATTTTTTTTTTGAAAATTCTTGGACACTAGTGCGTGACTCCAGATTTGGGCCTTGGACCCTGAAAGGGTTAAGGTTAGCATAGGATATTCAGCAAGATAGCAAGCATCAAGGACAGAGATAAACAGAAATAGAGAGAATTGGAGTTTGAAGGCTGTACTGCCACTCAAAGTGTTACAAGAAAGGTGACATTTATTTTAGATGCATATTACATACATATTTTTTTTAACACACTGGCCATCTCCCACCAAGGCAGGGTAACTAAAAAAAAAAAAGAAAACACTTTCATCATCATTCACACTATCACAGTCTCTGCAGAGGCACACAGATATGACAATTTATGTTACTCTGAACAGCAAATACCCCAAACCCCTCCTTTAAAGTGCCAGCATTGTGCTTCCCAACTCCAGTTCTCAAGTCTGGCTAACCGGTTTCCTTAATCTCTTCGCAAAATATTACCTGGCTCACACTCCAACAGCTCATCAAGTCCCAAAACCCATTCGTCTCCACTCACTCCTATCTAACAGGCTCATACATGCCTGCTGTATGTCCAAGCCCCTTATACACAAAGCCTCTTTTACCCTCTCCTTTCCTCCATTCTTTCCTTGGATGACCCCTACCCCTCCTTCCCTCCACTACAGATCTATATACCCTCCAGATTCTCTAAATCACCAAACCACCTCAACAACTCCTCAGCCCTCTAAACAATACTTCTAGTAACTCCACACCTGCTAATTTCCACACAATGAATTCTCTGCATAATATTTACGTCACACACTGCCCTTAAACATGACACTTCCACTGCCTCTAGCTTATTTCTCACTGCAACATTCACATCCCATGCTTCACACCCCCTACATGAGTGTTGGTACCACTATACTCTCATACATTCCCTTCTTTGCTTCCATGAATAATGTTTTGTCTGCATAGATTTCTCAATGTACCACCAACCTTTTTTCCTTCATCAGTTCTATGATTTACCTTGTCTTTCATAAACCCATCTGCTGACAAGTCTACTCCCAAATACCTTAACACATTCGCTTCTTCCATACTCCCTCCCTCCAATCTGAAATCCAATTTTTCTTTACCTAACTCATTTGATACTCTCATCACCTTACTCTTATCTATGTTCACTTTCAACTTTCTTCCTTTACACACCCTCCCAAACTTGTCCAGTAACCTTTGCAACTTCTCTTCAGAATCTCCCAAAAGCATAGTATCATCAGCAAACAGTAATAACTGTGTTAACTCCCATTTTATATTTGAATCCTCATAATTTATTCACATTATTGTTGAGAACTAGAATATAAATATTAATCACTACAGTATTAACTCTTCTTTTATTACATATTTAGCAGTGAAAAAAGGCAGGTTGCGTGATTATTAACAGTTTCCACACTGACAAGAGGGAAGTTCTAATTGACTTCAAGTTCTGCTGTGTGTTAAACCTTTGACTGTTTCGGTCGCATATATACGTCTTATGAGCCAACGTGTTTGACGTATATATACTCAAAAATTCTAGTGGCTTCAAATCAAGCAGGAGAAAGCTGGTAGGACCATATGTGAGAGAATGGGTCTGTGTGGTCAGTGTGCACAGTATAAAAAAAATCGTGCAGCATGGAGTGCATAATGAGAGAAAAAAAACCTCCAACCGTGTTTTTGGATTAAAACACCGAATTTGAGGTCTATTTTTGTATAGTATTTATGGTTGTATTCTTGTTTTCTTGGTCTCATTTGATAGAATGGAAAATGTATTATAGAAATAGAAGTGATTTTGATTGGTTTTACTATGAAAATGATCTTGAAATGGAGCTCAAAGTGGCAGAAATGTTTGATTTTTGCAGATGTTCAAGAGTAAGCAAATGATGTCATTGTCCAATAAATGTCCAACTAGCCATTCTAATATGCAGTCATGAATGGGTTGACATTATTTATACAATTATTACAATATTGCAGTAGTCTGCATAACAGTAAGTCTTCTATTTTTTTGTGTGAATAAAAATTCAAAATAGAAAGCAAGAGAATTATAACAGGGGCCTGGAGACAAGACTGATGAACAGAGAAAAATGTAATTTTAGTGCCAGGAATGTCTGCACTGTCTTTTCTGGACCCTATTTTGAAACTGACAATTTTTTTTAATTTGCATGAAAATGACCAAATTGCTAATTTCTGACCACTTTATTGGGTAGTTGAAATTGGTAAATGGGTGGTTTCTTGTACTCAATCAATAGAACAAATGGAGTTCTAAAGAAATAGCTATGAGTTTGGTTGACTGGAACAATGGAACTGGCTGAAAATAGGGCTCAAAATGAGTGAAACCGCCGATGTGTAAAAGTCATCGAGGCTGCCAACTTCACGAGAGCGTAATTCCGTAAGTTTTCCATCAAATTTCGTACTTTTGGTGTCATTAGCATTGGGAAAAGTTTCTCTATAATTTCGTAAGACAAAAAACTTTTTTTTTTTTTCCAAATATTTTGCAACACCAGGATTTGGGGTTGCGACAGTCAAAGGGTTAAAGGTTGTTCAGCAGTTCTGATGCATTCCGGGAGTTTTGTATAAACTAGCCTTGCTATTGAGTGAGCAATTCTAGTTAGATGCTTATCTCTCTAATCTACAGGCGTAGGAGTAAGTCATACATTCCCTACTTTAGCTATGTTCACCTTTGTGCTCATTT